TCAAAGAGATAGGAAAGAAAATTCTTCATGCAGTATAGCCCAAAGTTGAAGAATATGCCTAAAGATGCAAATAGATACCTAAGAGGTTTTCTCAGAAGGAAAAAAATCTGGGAGATGAAATTAAAGCAATTTAAGGCAGTTGTGTTAAACAAGCAAACAAATAAACCCAAACCACTTGGTCCCTTTTTTTTGTTTTTAGTCTTTCAGACACCTTTAAAAATCTGTTCCTCAGCCCATTGCAATTCAGCAATGTCACTTCCTCAGGGCAAACTCCAGGGATTTAATTTGGTCCCAGTGGTCTCCACGTTTGCTCAGATTGCTGTGTGGGGCATGCTCTGCTTCAGAGAGGAGCACTGGATGTTCAGAAAAGGATGTGGAATACTGGCACAGGCACAGCCTTCCTTACCCCAGGAGCTGTGCGGGGAGGTGTTTATTATGTCTGCATTTTGATGTCCATCAGTGGAGACAGTGGCTCCTCAACACCTTCCTGGGACACACTGACACCCCCTTTGGAGGCATCTTTTCCTTCTCAGTGCCTGAGAGGAAGCCAGGGTGCTGGTCTGACCACTCATGGACACCTGGAGCAGGGGAAAGGAAGCCTTCCCTGAGTGATTGAAAACCCAGGATCTGCTGTCTGACCCACACACTGAGCCTGGGTGCTGGGAGGGGAAGAGCTGCTCTGGGGCTCTCTTGGTTACCATTGCCCTGCGGATGGGCGTGCCCTGCTGCCCTTCTGAAATGAAGGGAACCTTAAAGTGTGGGGAGATGGGTCTGATCCTCCAACAAAGCAGCACAGTGTGCTCCCTTCCTAGCCCAGTCCCAGGCCAGTGTCTCCACAGGCCATGTCTGTATTGTCCTTGTGCCCAGCAGCTCATTCTGGTCCAGTGTCTCCCACACGGGCACACTCGGAGGGTTGCAGACTCTCAGAAAGGAGGGAGAAACTCTGAAATCAAGAAGGCCTAAACTTGTAAGAGTTTTGAAAATTAGCATAATGCTTTTCGTGGTGTCCTTGATGAATTGAAGAGAACATCTGTATAACACAGGGCCAGAAATGCACTTTTAAAGTTGAGTCACTTGGTTTTGAATGAGAGTTACTGGCACTGGCCAGAAAATCTGTATTTGCCTAGAAGAATTATTTTATTTTCTTCTGGCTTCACCACCACAACAGAAATCATTTTGCCAAAGGAATGGGCAAATTTCATCTCAGCAGGAATCCAGTAGAAAGCTCAGTCTTATAAGGCCTTTAGCTAGATTGGGACTTAGTACAGTTTTGATGGTTTAAAGAAAAATTCTGTCATGGTTGAGTGGTTTTCAGCCCATGGAGCCGAGATAGGCAGCCTTGCAAGGCTGTGACAATCTATGGCTAGAGCCCTCCCTCTGCTGACTCTGGGCTTTGAAATTGAAGCAGAGAGGAGCTTTTTGTGTAACTCTGCAGATCTCAGAAGAGCTTATCTCAGGAGGGAATATTCTGATGGCTTTGTGCTGTCAGTGAATTAAATTATATAGGCTGGCTATTTTTCATCTTTGTTGCACTGACCTAATTTAATACAAATACGTTACTGGAGAGCTGAACTAAAATCGTGTAGATCTTAATAAGATCATAACAAAACCCATTGAAATCTTTTTCTCTTATGCAATTTAAATTCAATTTACAGTCACTGTTTATTTTCACATACTTGGTTGTTGTTTTAAGCACTGGGGTTTTTTTGCACTGCTTGCGTAATTCAGAGCTATTGCAGTATCAAACCGGTGCTCTTAATGTGCTCTGGAATTTGGCTTTTTGGACTTTTACCATTTAGAAAATGTATCCAGTTGAAAGGACAGTCTCAGGAGCAGGGGAGCCTTTCCACAAGCAGCAGCTGTTCCTGCTGTTGGGTTTGCATGTAAGAAGAGAAAATTATCTGAGAATGTCCTCAGCACCTGTGTGCTTTCCCTGGGAGCACATCCGAGCCCTGAGCAGGCTGTGGCCATTCCTGCTGCTCACCTGAGCCTTGGGGCTGGACCATTCCTGTGCCCCTTTGCCACACCAGAATGAGGGCATTATTGTTTATTTTGTCATTAAATGCCACACGTTGGTCTTGATGATCACGGAGGTGTTTTCCTGGGATTCTTGTGTGCATCTCATCCGCTCACCTGCAAAGGCCCCTCTGGAGCACGGCAGGACCATCACTCTGTAGCTTGTGAGGTGCTGCAGCAGGATGGGAACAGAGCAAGCATGTTGGTTTTCTATACAATGAAAAGCCTGAGCTTGATTATATTAAAAGCTTTGAAGTCCTGCTGAATGTTTGGCTTCCAGCCCAGCTGGTGAAGAGTGCAGAGAAGTGCCTTTGCTGTTTCAGTGTCAACTTGAAATTAATTTTCTCTCTCCCAGCTTGATCAGCCACTGAAGGTCATCTTATTTCAGTTGTTTCTAAAGTGTCCTGCATATACAGAGCACATGCACAGGGTTTGCATTCACTGGGGAAATGATTTGTAGCTATTTGCAAGTGGTGTTGTAATTTATTAGTTGAATTATGTTGCTTAGATTGAAAAAGTGTCTGACAGTCAACTGGAACCAGCAGTTCCATTTTAATTCCACAGGGTAATAATTTTCTACTATTATATATAAAGCCTTACCCCAGTTATTATACGTATTAGTTGTTGGGGTTTTTACAGCACCACAATGAGAAACTTGCCAAGCAATAAATTCCATTGAAAGGTTTCTTTGTGTCTTTAGGAAAAGTTTACATGAGATACTTTCCTACTTACATGTAATAAAAGGAAATAATAAGGTACACAGCACATGAGTAACCATTAACTTGTGCTATTGTGTATTTTACTGGCTTTATTATTGATAATTTTCCAAACCATACAGACTCAAACAAGTGCCTTTGCATTTCTCTGAATCTATCCATTTAATTTACAGAAAACCTGATTCACACAGATTGTGGAATTAAATCATCACCCCAGCTGCTATGCTTTAAGTTTCCCAAACCTTTGTGAATCATTGTGTGGTTTTGAACAGCCTGGTTGTTGTGACATAAGAATTTTTGTAATTGATCAAATATGTTTAGGATTGGTTGGTTTATATTTTTAGAAAAAAAAAAAAAAGAGTTGTTTTTAGAAGAATTTATTTAATTTTTAGGAAATTGAATTAATCTTGTTTTTAAGTCACGATTTCCTTTTTATGTTTCCAACTAATTCCAGCACAAGAATTATTTTGATTTTTGTCTCAGACATTACAGCTTTGCTGGGCTTTGGATATTTTTCTAAGTTTTCCTTCAGAAGCTCTAGTTCTTCCTGCTTGGCAGTTGTTAAGCTACCTGTCTCCTTGTTTAATGTTCTGGGAGAGCGTTGTGCCCACTTATGTCTGAGACCAAAAATACCCCAACTCTGAGGCATCAGAATAAACAAACAGGACAGAAAGCCAAATGTGGTCGTGATCAGAAGTAAAGCCACGTGTGTAGGCTTAGAGCACAATTTGGGGCTTTTCTGCATTTGGGTTCAAGTAGAGGAATGATGAGTCAGTGCTGCCAGGGCTGCTTGACCACAATTAATGGGTTTGCAGCTGGCAGTGGTGTGCTTAAAAGGAGACAGCTTCAGGAACCCTTGCTAAAATGGGGGGTCGGGTCATGTAACCCCAGGAACCTTGTTCTGTAGTGACTAAAACTTCCTGAATGTCTAAGTTTCATTCAGATTTCTTGAGGACAGAAAGCTAAATTGGATACAGAGGCCCCTTCAACAGCACTAACAAGGTGCAACCAGGCCCCGGAGAAGCAAGTGCACCATGCAGGCTCTGTGGTTACCCTGGATCAGCCCTGGCACAGGGGGAATTTCTGTGTTTGCAGAGGCTGCAGGGGCTGAGGAGAGGCACAGGGGCACCAGGGATTCTGATGCTCCCACAGCAGCACAGCTTTGGGGTCCTGGGACTGGGACACAGGTGCCCTGTGGGACCTGAGCTGTGGGACCTGAGCTGTGTCCCACGTTTCTGGGGAGGGAAGAGATTTAAAAAGGAAAGTATCCTCAGACTGGGTACAACCCAGCTTGGGCTTTTCAGTGGTGCCCTGTGGCAGCCTCTGTAAGTGAACAGACATGGATTGATGCAGGGTCTGGACAGCCCTTATTAAGCCCAGTTTACAGTGGTTTGTACTTGCGAACTCTTTTTTCCAGTTACTTTCCCTTACTGTTCTCCCGGAGCACCATGGGACACTTCCAGGAGCTCAGCTGGGCACACACTGGGGGCACCTGGCCCTGTGCAGGATGTGTCTCTCCCAGGAATCCTCACTATGCTGGGATGTGCAGCCCAGTGGGGCTAGGACCACAGTGACAGGGAACCATACAACTGCAGGGGACCCTGTTGCACTGGAAGCCCCTTGGTTTTCTTCACATACACGTGGGCTGTTTTAATGTCACAGTGACTGAGATGTCACTGCTTTGTTAAAATCCCTCTCAGGCATGTTAAAAATGCAGTATCAGGGAGCCCAATGGTGTAAAGAAATGACAGTACACTTGTTTCCAGTTTTTAATGCTTTCTTGTAAAACTGAAAATACAAAACCAGCTGAGCAAATGTAGATCTTTATATACATGAGGTCTCTGATTAAAAAAATCCTTTTAGTTAAAAAAAGAAAAAAGGGAAGACTGAACCAACAAGTTAAATGAAAACTGATTAAAGGGAACAACATTCTCAAATTGAAGCATACTTTCCAGGAAGGAAAACATCTTCTTTACAAGTTTATTATATAACTTACATTTACACTTTACTGAGAGAACTTACAAAACAAGCTGCTTGAAATGCTCCTCATTCCCTTAAAGCATGAATTTCAAAGTGCCACAGCAAAGGAACAGGTTCCAATATTATCTTATACAGACTATTCATGTATAAAATGGTTTGGTAAATGTGAGGTGTTCATTTAAATGAGCACTTATAGGGATACAGACTAAATAAAAGTACTTGAACAACACCTTTGTTATTACATACGCAGTTATAGGTATAATAAAGGAAACCAGGCCAGCACTGCTCTTAGGTATCTGTGTAGATGGAAGGAATGTGATTCAAGCAGTGATCAAAGGCACTGTTCTGGAAGAATCCATTTTCATCCGTTCCATTGGAGACCATGTCTTCAGATACACACTGGGCTTCAGAGATCCCCTCATAGCCTGGAAGAGTGACAAGGACACGGACACGAGTTAGTGCCACGGTGCACGAGAGGAGGCAAGCACAGCTTGGGGCCCGGGATCCCACAGGACAGCACAGCACAGCGTTAATGGAAGGACAGGAGTGTTCAGCATCAAAGCCTTGCCAGTTTTCAGTGGGTGTTTGTGTCATCATGGCTGGCACTCCCATTCGTTTCTGGGCAAAGCTGTGCACTTTCAAGTGAAGTGCAAGAATCAGAGCACAGCTCTCTTGGGACTCAGTCGTTATCTGAATAGGACATCAAAACAATGAGTGGGCAGTGATCCTACTAAGTGTGCACTAGAAGTGATGCAGTCCTCTTGGTTTGGGCTTTTCCTTTTAATAGCACTTTGAAAAAATATTCCATGTGTCTCCCAGCTGCTCTTAAGATGCAGAAGAAATTTGGATCCTACATTTATTGGCTCTCCACATAGTGCAGGTCTGAGGAAGCATGGCTGGGGCAGGTCAGGCTCACAGGACATAAGGAAAGAGCTGTGAACCTCAGCCCACCAAAGCCCACCAGGCCAAGCTGGTTGCTGCTTGCCAGGCTACCAGAAAGCCACAGCAGTAGGGAAGAATTTCTCTGTCCTTCTTTCGTAACGCCAAACTTCCACAGCTATTGCAAACCTCGTGAGCTGCACATCCCTGTGGAAAGGAGCAGGTTTGCCATTGTACCAGATGCTATGGCATTTATTGCCTACCCCAAAGGATATGAAAATTTCCTATTATGACCCATTATAGCCTGCTTTTGCAACTGGCCAGTCAAGGCCCACATGCACATGTTCATTTTACTGTTTACTGCAGTCCAGCTCCTCCTTACATTATTCTGTATTCTGGTTTCCTTTACACCACCTGATTTGGGTTGGGTCTTTAGAAAAGCGTCCTTGTGAACTTCAGCACAATGTTCTGACCCTTGGACTGAGCCCCCAGGACCCAGAGCCCAGCCACCACCACTGGAATAAGCAGCAGCTGAGGGAGCACATGGAACAAAATGCAGTTTAGCAAATGCCTGTGCCTGACACAGGAAGCCCTTACACAGAGTGGGGTCTCCACTGGGGAGGGCTGATCCTCGTGCTTGAAGCGCCAGACCTGGCTCTGTTCTCTGCCCCACCGAGGGGTCTGTGGGGCCATTGGAAAATGACTTTTTCTGGGCCTTGGTGGAAAATGAGGTGATTCCTTCTCTTTAGCCTTGCCCTTGTCTTTTCCACTGCCCACACCCCTGCAGGCAGGTGGGGCTGAGCCAAACTCTGCCCAGGCTCCACAGGGACCCTGGGGCTAAGTGGCACCACACAGCAGCCAGGGATGGATCCTGTATCCTACAGCCATCCTGGCTGCAGGAAAACCTGTCCACTTCATTGTAGCTATTTTCATGTTAGATATGTTTTTATTATTTGAGATCAAATTCTCTACTTACTTACATTTCTGCATTTTCCTATGACTTATTAATTTACTGTTGGTTTACAGGTCAGATTCTGCTGTCTGCAGAAATCTAGCACACAGTGAATGTCCAGAGGTTCTGGAGGATGACCTCGGCATGTTTATCTGTGTCGGGCCAAGTGGAGTGACCAGTATTTTGATAAGTTTTGGGAGTGTTTATGTTATGCTAATTTCTATTTGACGAGCCTGTATACAGGGTGGATACAGAACCACAGATGGATAAAACCCAAGATAAGCATACACCCCAGAAATCATTATTAGATTCCAGATAGAGTAAACTATCCAAAGTCCTGAACAGAAAATAAAAATTTATTGACTGTTAATGTGATTCATGGAACAGCTGTTTGCCAGTCACATTGGGCATTCCTGCGAGATGAGATCTCATTTAATATTAATGGTGCTATAAAAGCCTGAAAAAAATTAATGCATAGCCTTGATGAATCTTGCAAACCTGAATGGTTCTATTTTACACACTAAAAGATGAGATATATATATTTCATGCATGTTTATGTTTCAGCCTTTTAAGTATTTGCATGCCTCAATAACCACTCTAAAAACAAAAATACTAAACAGAAACATTTCATGATAGTTTAGGCCCAGACAGAAAAATCAACTGTTGTTGAAGTTGGTGTCTTGCCACAGTATTATTCTTTACTGCTACAATTTCTTTTGGAAAGTTTATTTAGTCTGTTCTTTAAGTATTGCAGGCTGTCAATCTAAGCTTGAAATTTGATGTTAACATGAAAAACCCCTATGTTTTAGTAATATCAAACTTATGAGTAACACTAAAGAATTCAAAGTTGAAGTTGAAACTTCATCTTAAATGTTTCCCTTGTGTTGGTTACTGATGCATGCACTTCCCAGAATGGAACAGCAGACAAATGCGTGCACACTTGCTCTGAACAGAGTCTCCTTTAATACAAAACAAACAGGAAAGTCAACTCTAATTTTGTGGTCTGACTCAGGCCCCAATTCAAAAAGCACTTAAACATATGTTTTCAGTATCACTCTTAACTGAGGTGCCCTCCTGAGTGCAGACATGAAGAGAACTTTCTTGGAGATATGTAAGTAAAGATTGCAGCAAATGGTTGTGTTTGATTTCAGCAATTCTGTCAATTATTAATTTTAAAGATAGAAAAAAAAAGAACTAATATACTGAAGTACTACAGTAATGCAGCCATTATAACTTTGACCTGATTATAAAAGCCTGCCTGAGCACACCTGAAATCTGCAATGAACAGACCACGCAAAAAATGTAGGCAGTGCCTTGTCAGCTCTCCTGAAGGTGGGTGTTGCCTATGGCATCCAGCAGAATGGAAGAGACTTTGTCTATCAGTCAAATATAGCAGGATTAAAAAAAAATTATTTCCTTCTAGGTTTTTATAGATGAAAATTAATTTCAGGGCTATTTTTTATACAGACATGCTTTTGTCATAACATTGAAAATAAAATGTGGTTTTTGCCCCTCCTGCTACAAATATCATATGGATAATTCCTTATAGGTGGAATAAATTACCTGTTGAAGCTAAAGGTGCATTGAGTATGTGATAGCCATTCTGCCTCAGAGGATTGAAGCAATGGGATTCCCCTGTGAGCACATCACTGCTGACAGACTGGTCCATTGTTCTGTAGCAATCTCCGTAGTGGAAACAGTTTTGTATGGAGTGAAAGCTGCCTTGGTAACCTGAAAGCAGATATTGCACACAATTCAATCCTGCAATGGTACTGCCTCCACTTCTGTCACAGCATTTCATTACTGCTGGGGGGTTTAGTTCCTCACTTTTAACTTCGGAAAAATGATTGTCCTGTTTTATACAGTGCAGTTACAGAAGAGCTGCATCAGACTTGGTCCCACAATGTGCTGTGGACTGTGATCCCCATCAAGCAAAAATCTCAAGGATGGGCTTCATTTCAAGCAATAGATCAGCTGAACACGGTCAACAGCACCCTTGGATCCAAGGTAAGTAGTGAGCCCTCCACTGGATCAGGTCCAGGATGCTCAGCTCCTAAGGGAATGTCTCTGTAATGAATCACTGTTAATTTAAATACAATAATGCAATATTTAAATAAATACCACTGCTTTGTTTTCAGTTAAGTAAAGTCTTTTGCCATCCAGTGTGTGCTGTGCACCGCTGGAGACAGCACTGTTTATCCAAAACACCTTCACAGGTTCCTCAAACTTCTTTCCCAGACTGCTCTTGATTCAAATGAACCCCCTTTCACTGGACACAGGGGACCACAGTGTGCAGGTAATGACCTAGAAGTTCAGGACTCACTCCAGATAGCTGTCAGGTGAAGACTGAGCTCAACCAGAGGCTTTTCTGCTTCTGGAAAGTGCTGGGATAGATCTGTATGGTCTCTGCTCGCCTCAGTTATTCTGCTTTTGGGGCATGTTTGGCTTCGGTCTTCCACATACCCAACATTTCTTAGATCCTGGGGTTTTTTTCCCCAAGTATTGTATTATCAGTACCCAGCAGTTTGGGTTTTGCCATCAGCAGTTGTGAACGTGTTGTAGACAACAAAAGATGATATTTAATAGTAAAGGGCAAGTGAATTGCTGAGGAAGGAATTTTGCAATTTATAAGTTGTTCAACATCGTAAAAAATTTTAATTTGTTCCCAGAAGGATGATCTCAAAGTACGTCACAATATTTAAACCAACCATGGCCTGATTTAATGATTTTCTTTCCTCCTGCCTCAATGAGCTCTTCCTTATTCTGGGTGCAATGCACACTAACTGCACATTCCTATCAGCTACCCCTTTTCCTACCTTCTCTGAAATGATTCTCCTTCCCTTAAAATGCAACTGAAGTCAACCAAATTAGGTTTAGAGTCTAGCAGAATGTGCTTCAGGATTTTCCTCCAATTGCCAGAAAAAATATGGAGTTGTTGTCTTTCTTCCCTCAGTTTTACAGAGACTGAAACATTTCCTCAGGAACTCTGCAGAAGCTCAGGGCAGTTCAGTGAATCCCAGTCACAGCCACGTTTCCCCGTTTCCAGCTGACAGCTCGGCCCCACTCACAGCAGAGACCCGCCCTGCTGGGCTGCCTGTGCAGCTCTTCAGTCTGTTTGTTCAGAAATTAAATCCCTGTGCCTGTCCCCAGAGCACCTGGGGCTATATGGGGTGAATTGTAAGGTTGAGCACCCTTACAATTCCTGCAGTGTGCAAGATCTCTCCTGTTCAGTAAGATCCCCCACACTTCCCTATGTTTTCCCTCTACTACCAAAGTCTGACCAAGCAGACAATACCAGGCAAAGCTCGGGGTCTGGTCACTTCATATTTTCTACGTTAGCAATAAATAAGGCCAAGTGAGGCAATTCTTGAGTAGAAAGGCAATCAACTCATTGAGTGGTGAAAGATTTGCTCTGAAGCTTCCCAGTTTAATATGTGCTTTGGCAGAATCTGCAAGGATTAGGTGCTTAATTTCTTGAGAACTTATGATCCACTACAAAATACCTAAATTGTTGATGTCCACGATTAGTGAAGTCCTAATGGATGACTCTTAGATAAAGACACTACACACTCTGTACCAAGGCTGCTCCTATTTGCTGCTATGGCAAAGGCAGCCCAAAAATTTGGAAAGCTGAGCATTAAATGATGCATGTCCTTCCTTGGAATAAACAGCCAGCCACCTCTATTTACGGCCTGGATAGTCTGGCTCAAAGAACCAAGGAGCTCTTATGAGAGGTAGCACAGCCCTCTTTTAATGTGGTTTTAGGTACAGTGTGTTATTGATTGGCTTTGATACTTATCCTTTCTGTTTACAAACACAAACTCCTTGCTGTAGGCCTTCTAAAAATACATCCTTTTGAGATGAGCAGTGAAAAAAAGAGACACTTGGCTTCAAAGGAGGCACAGCTGGTTGCAGAGAGCACTTAGATGCATTGCTAGAGAAAAAAAAATGAACCTTTTCTAGAATGTCTGCTACAGACATCACTTCTAGGGAAGGCATGACATGTATTTTCTCTGTCCCTCCCTTGTGCTGTCCTTCCCTTGTGCTCCCAGGCTTGCATTTGTTATATCAATTAAAAATCTTCATGATCTACAGAGCTGGCACAGTGGCTTAAAAAAGCAGAGAGCAGCCAAGGATGACAGAACTGGATTGAAACTAGTCGGATCCAGGGTTTTCCCAAGACCTGTGGGGAAAGGTTGTTTTGAAGTGTTTTAAGTTACACTGTCTGGAAATACCTGAAGCAGAGAACTGCCTCAGAATCAGTCTGGAAAAGAATTGCCATGAGCAATGAAATCCTCTTTTGGATTGCAGTGTTTATCCCTCAGCACCACTGTGAGATAGTCTGAGAAGGCAGAGGAAAAGTGTTCCTGGAACCACCCAGTGGAGAGGGGGGTGTAGGAAAATCCCGGTGCTACTGCACTGCTGAGTTCACCAGGACCTGATTTCTGCCAAGTGCTTCACAGAGAAATACAGAGAAATGCACCTTCTCTGTTCTAACCTGCCTGCAAGGTGGGATAAATGCAGGTATGAAACTAAAGAAAATACACGGAATGAGGAAGGGAAAGGGTGCAGCAGAACACAAGTCAGGTAGAACAAAGCATCACACTAAAAATGGGATTTCTGACCCTTTGGGTTCATTGCATTTAGATGTGGTTCCTTTACATTTCTTTAAATGCTTCACTGAGAAAATATGGGGGATTAAAATATGATTAAAGTCCCATAACCGAGCGTTGGGTTAACAACCACATATGGTTGATTAAACTAAACAGGGAGCATTTTTTACAAGTTCTTAAAAAAGACTCCCTTCAGGGGTTAAAATACAAAGTAAGCAAGAAGGCTGGTCCAGTGCAGACATCCCTGCTCCTTCTGGAGTGCAAATCTGGAGTACCAACTTGGCAATAAGTGTTTCACCAATATTTTTTTTGCCACATGGATTTCAGGTTTTCCTTCAGTTTTGATTTAAATCAAGAATTTTCTGAGGTTATTTTCAAGTGAAGAATTTACTAAATGCCCTGTCAGTTTAAATGATCACTGTTAAATGTTTTATGTACAGTAGATGTAGAAATATAACAGTTCATAAAGGAATAAACTGAGTTCCAAACATAACATTTAGTTAAAATTTTGCTTTGAAATAATTTGTGGCAGAAAAGCTGCACTTAGCCACTTCACACAGTGCACTGGCTGCCTCTGCTTCTCTAAGGCACAGCCTAGAAAACTTCAAGCAGCTTTAAAATGAATGATGTAATGAGCAAATAATTGGAATATGGCTATTAAATGCCATCTTGTTATGTCATGTCATTTACAGGTATTTGCAAATAAATCTCAGCTTTTCAAATTCCATAAAATTTCTGACAAGAAATCATGTCAGGTATAAATAACTACAGGATTCCACTGCCTGCCAAATTCTTTCAGCATGTAATGATTTCCACGTGATCTTACTACAGCTAGGTTAAAACATATAAATAATGTCAGCTTGTTCTTTCATTATCAATATTTCTGCTACCAACCTGACAAAGCTGCCATCTCCTAAAAATTCCACATCCACACTGTTTATGTGCTTCTGTACAGATGCCTGGTTCTACACTAGGTTTATGTACCTTTTTTTGGCAAAAATTCAAAACCCCCAAATTATTAGATTCCGTTAGAAAATGTGCTATTAATGAGCTGAGAGGCAAAAAAAAGAAGAAAAAGTAGAGCAAGTACAGCTAAGTACAGGTTACAGATAATTGGTTTCAAAGGCTGCTAATCAAAACTGATTTTGGAATGACCATTTCCATAATTAATTTATAATAATACTTCAACATTTGGCCAAAGTGGAAAATTATTGCTTTTTCAAAACCACATGACATAACACTTAGAAGGCAACAATTCATTCAAAAGGAAATGTGGTTTTCTTAAGGAATAAAGTCAATTTATTTAAGTGGTTCAAAACTTGTTCTGTCTATGCATTTGTTTCTGCCGTAGTAATGAGCTGCTAAACTTTCCTCTTGTGGCTTGTAGTTATTTAGCTCATTATAGCAACATAATCATATATCATTATATGCTATCATAAATCTGCCACTTCTCCCTTACAGAGTTAATCTTTTTAAATTGAATAATCTGTTGAGCATCAGGTTGAGTTAGTTTTTCCTTCAGCACAAATCATTAAATATAATATGCTTTAACTTTTCAGACTAAGCCCTTCCAACCAAAGAGCAAAAACACTGCTCAGAGAACGAGGGGCAGAGGGAACTCTGGGATACCCAACCCCGTCCCAGCTGGGAGCTGCTCACGGGTTTGTGCTCAGGCTCTTGCAAGCAGACAGATGTCCTGCACACTTCTTTATTGGGAATATTTACCACATTTTAGCAGCTCACCATCTGGATTGCATAAGAGATTTCTGAAATATGCAAGCTCCTGTTACTGGAAGAATCTGTGATAATAATATCTCTTGCTAATTTGTGCCTCAAAAATTTCAGGAACATTAATTAGTTCCCACAGCAGAACTCCAGAATAGGTATGTAAGCTCACAATTAAAAAAGATGAGTAATTCAGAATAAAAAATGTTTTAAATTAAGCTGTGGGACAGCAGCTTACTGCTCCCTTTCCTGTCCTCAAATCCCACAGGCACTCTACAGTTGTACAGAGTGCATTTACATGTTACTATATAACGTAAAACAAGCCAAACTTCCAAATAATAAATGAAAAAATGTTTGCTTTCTTTGTCTAATTCCATGTCTTGTGCATCAGTATGAGAGGACGGAGCAGGACACTGCCAAGGTGTGCCTCAGCCCATGTACTTTGGGACTGGATGGCTCTTGCAGGGTCACTCCAGGCTGGACGACCAGTCAGGGGAGGTGCATGGTCAGCAGCCTTCTACTGAAGGACCTGAATAAATGCAATAAATCTGCTGTTAGGACAGCTTTCCCCATTATGATGACATATCACAGCATGGACCTGTGTTAAAGTTCCATCTGTATGTACATCAATCCAGTTTAAAGAACTGGAGTTCCCATTGAAATGCTGACAGTATTAGCCAAATATGAAAAAGCAAAATAAATTAGTTCTGTCCAGCTAGAAATTAGAAAAGGTGCAAAAAACAAAAAGAGGGAAGAGTTACCTTGAGATCCCTGCTGTACAGACTGGTTGGGGAATGGGGTGTATGGTGTATTTGGTATCCCAGAAAACTGCTGCCCGTTGGGTGACTGGCTGTGGGATGATGGAGAGCCGTGTTTCTGCAAGAGGGAAGGTGGAACTAAAGCTTTCAGGGGGCTGACAAGCGGAGAGATTATGTTGGGAGCAAGCCTAGAAAAAGAAAATACAGAAAAACTTCACATATCACATCATAATATGGCAAAATGAAATACTTGTATGAACTATTTCCATAATGGCCAAGCTACAGAGAAGTCTGTTTTGCAGGTACAAATTATATTGAAAAAAAGGACAACAATGCAGTGCTACCTTCAGATATTTGCTAGGAGGCAAGAGTTAGACATGGAATTCTGTTCCTTTACACTGACTTCCTGCACTTGCCATAATGATAGGATCAAGATGACACCACTCCTCAGTGAGCAACTTAAACACAGCTCCATTTGATTTAGAATTTTGTGAGCTGAGATACGTGTCTAGAAACAGAAGTGGTAAATGTAGCTAGAATGGGTAAATGCAAATAAATTGTGTGCGTGCCTTCATAGCTTAACGGGGCAAAGCTGTAAGAGGGTCAAGCTGCAGCCAAGACAAAGAAAAGCGTTCGTTTCACCCTGCAGATGAGCAGAGTGGATCTCCTACAGCTGTGACAAGGGGCCCTGTGCTCCACAGCCCAGTGGTGCTCTGTCCAACAGCACAGGCAGCATGGGCAGTTCTCAATACCCTCTCTGCTGCCTGCAGAGCTTTTGCTAAGCCTAAGAAGGACCTCTTTGAGCAGCACCAGAACCTTCAGATGCTGCAAAATCTACCTCACTGTCTGAGAGCCACCCTGTGGAAACTTCCCAGCTACAGAATCCAAGGAGAAAAAATAAAACAACCTCTGCAGGTTATAATAGATTCACTGAGCTGGAAAAAAATACGGAGCACAAACCATTGGAGGCAGACAAAAATTAACTAAATAAAAACTCCCATCTCTCACTGGTGTCTTCCTCTACCCCTACACAAGCTGTTCAAACACCATAAAGCATCATTTCACACGAAGGCTTCTTGGAGCAGTTGGACTGACCTTGGGAGCGAGGCTGTGCTCCAGTGAGGGCTAAGCACTACATGAGGGTGTGCAAGAGGTAAACAGAGGGGAACTGTGAATAAATGGTGACAACAGCTTAACCAAATTTAACATGAGAGGCGCAGGAATGCTGCCAAAAGCTGTCACAGTGACACTGTAAATATTAGAAGGGGTTTCAATCAACATATCCAAGTCCCTCCCATGCTCAGATAATTCCATCTCCCAAAACAAGGAAGCAAGACCTATAATACAAGCTACCAAGACTGAATCTCCCCAAACTAAACTGAGGAATTAAGCTAGCGTTGTTAAATGGGTGAAGGCAAGGATCTTTTCAAGTCAAATAGCAAGAACTGGAAAACAGTATTTTTTGTGAGAAAGATACTCCCTCCCATGATGCTGATAGGTAATATGTAAAATAAAGACTCGACTACTGTCAAAGGAGCCAACATGTAAGGAGAAAAATATCCTATTTGTTTGGGTTTGGAAAAGGTCTGGGGCTGCAGAGGTGCCAAAAAGGGACCGGAGGATGCCGGGGCCCCCTGTGCTCAGCCCGGCTCAGGGACCAAACGCTCCCTGAGCCCGAGCTGCCGAGGAGCAGATGCGGGGAAACACCGAGTTTATTTGGGCAGCACAGCCAAAGCCAGGGGCAGCTCCCCGGGGCCGCAGCTTTTCCGCAGAGGGCTCAGCGGGGCCGCGGCTGGACGCGGAGCTGCCGTGAGCCGCATTCCCTGTCCGCACAGAACGGCGCTCCCGCCACGGCCGCCACCTCGGGAGCCTCGCTCGGCTCTGTCGCGGCTGCGGCACAGCCCGGCCGCGGGCAGGGACCACAGCCCGGCCACCGGCCCCTCCTCCGGCACATCTCCTCCACGCGCCAGCAACGCTCTCAGAAGCCTGGAAATGCTTCTATCTGAAAGCAGATTAAAAAGATTGTAGTTGTTTTCGCTGGAAAGAGAATAGCTAAAAGAGCTCATGATAGTGACATTTATATGGGTAATGACCACACACACATCTAAAAGAGAAACAAAAGACGTACTAAAAACTCCAATGCCGGGATGAGCCAGAAACCACTCTGAATAGGGGAGCAAAATGCTGTGGGGAGCGAGTCCTCTGCAACTGCCTGTGTTGGGTTTCCTCTGCCTGCTCTTGGAATGTCTTGTCCCGGCTACTGCTGGGAAACGCAGCACCCCATAGAGACCTGCCGGGCTGCTCCGAGTGCTTTGTTAGGATGGGCCATCGCGTTTCTAAATTCTATGCAATCATGCTGCTTTGTCGAACAAAAATGGTACACTTAGGTATCCAGCTGTGGGAATACTGAAAATCCCAGCTTCCCTACCCAGTTTAACTACTCCCGGAGGCTACTTAAATCTTAACCATGGGAGAAGAATTTTAAGTTTTTATTGTTATTTTTAAAGCACTGCTTGTCCCCACTCACACTCTTGCATTCCTGTTTTTCCTGTGTGTGAACTCAACAGGGTTTGTGCCTCGAAACCTTTGAGATGAGTGTTCAAGGGTGGAGAGGTCCCCTGCAAGGCCAGAGGGGTGCAGGCCCTGCTCCAGCTGGGAATGCTGAGCAGCGCGTGGAGCTGCCAGCTCTCTGTTCCTGCTGGGCACGGCTGCCCGGTGCTGGAGCTCAGCAAACATTGCTGCCTGTGGGCAGCTGTATCCTAGGAGCAGGAACCTGAGCTGAAACCCTGACAGCTCTGGGTAACACTTGAGCATCGCTGCCTTCTCTGCATCAAAAGGGTTTCACAGAGTTGAGCAGTTCACCATAAAAATCTGCTATGTTCTGCTTGAGCTCTCCCAACAAGGAATTTAGTATATTTCCTGGAAGTTAAGGCACAGTTTTCAGCTAGGAAAGAACTTTGCTCAGCAGAAAAATCTGGCTATGTTAGCACAAGTGGCCAACATGGAAATCTGTGTCCTTAAAATATTCATCACAATCCCTACAGCTCAAACTGGTCCCTAAAATATTACCCTCTGTGTGTGTGCATGAGTGAATGTGCTCTGGCACACTCAAGGGGAGATTTTCATCAGCCAAACTGTCCAATCTCCAGTGCTGTGGTTTTAATTATCTCCTGAGTATCTGCCTACTAATTAGGTTGCTGTGATACTCAGGTTGTTAAAAGAGGAGGAATCATTCCTGATACAAATTAAACAGATAATGCATTAGGGCCTAAAAGGTGATGCCTTCTGTGTGGAAGATGAAACACTGAAAGACTTACAGCAGGAACTCAGCTGGATACACTAAAATTCCCAGGCAGCAGCTCAGGCATGTGTGTTTCAATAACTAATAGCCTGCACATTTCCTGTTAATACTGTACTACAACCACAGTTTGCTTTGGTTTGGAAAGTAATAATAAATATATACCATATATTTTACCTTAATTGTAACTTGCATAATTCAGTAAATTTGCAGGTCCTTTGGGGCCTTTTAATATATATCTCTGCCTATATATAGCTATATATAAAAATATATAAATACTCTCACAGGCATGAAAAAAAATCCGTATCCTTCCTTAATTCATTACATTTGAGGGCTCCTGGCTCTGTGGAGTATTTCTGTTGAGGGCCATACAAGGGTGTGATGGGGGAGCCTCCTCTCCACCCTGTCCAAGACACAGGAGCAACAGGACACGCACCACGGAGAGAAGGAGCTTGGCTGGAAACAAAAGGAACATTTTGCTCACACAGCATGCCCTGGCCTGTGCCATTCACAGCCACAGGAGCCACAGAATCAAACAAAATACCTATTTTTTTATGAAGGGACTGAATAATTTAATGGCCAAAACCAATATTTCCATGCTAAGTGAGGGGTAATCACATCTTGTGCTTCAGGATGTAAAGTGATCACCCATGGAGGCAGAGAGGAATTCTGCTCTCTTCACTCACCACAGCTCAGGGTGACTGACCACGTGCTGGGGGCCTTTTCCAGTTCCCCCTGAAGCACCACGGGAGGATGGTGCTGGAGATGGAATTCCTGTCTGAGGTGGGATTGCAGGGCCAACACTTCCTCTGAGGAGGCATCAGCAGGCAATCAAGGAGAAGGACTACTCAGAAAAATCCTATGTGATTCACACACACAACCAAAGGGAGACTTTGGGAATAACTGAGCCTAACTCAGTAACCACCTTGTCTGTGGCACTGTGCACATTTCTGCACCAACCCTGCCTGAAAATGCCCAGCTCCACAGCCCTTCCCACAGGAACTCCTGCAGTCAACTGGGATTCTACCCACAAAGAATCATGAAACCAAGTGCCAGTCACGGACAACAAACCAGTTCCTCAGCTCTACTGGAAAGCATTTGTCACATCGATGGGAATACTCAAAGCTTGGTCCTAACAGAAGGACTTTTAAAAAGGGAAAATTAAAAGTCAAAACATAGAAAAGACTGATCTTCCTCTCTCTTTCTAAGTGCATACCCTAGGAATCTCACACAGAAATACCACTGAAACTTTTCATAAACTTTCTTGTGACCATGCTTTAACAATGAATTTTGGATGGTGGAAGTTTATATTAAATTGTAAGTAAGGCCTGTGTGAGAGAGCTACCTGTGTATGCCATGAGCTAGCAGTGACCTACAGAAAACACACCTAAAGGCTCCAAGCACCATGACTTTGCTTTAGAATTATTGATCCTGTCTGCGCTCTCAGCCTCCCCAAGCAGGTAGGGGTGTTTGAGGATCTCTCTGTTCTCCCAATGCACACCAAATGTCCTGTTCCAGTATCAGTGCAACATAAAGAACCAAAAAAATAAATACAGATGGACATGGATTGTTCTGAGATTTCCACCACAATGTCTGGATAGGTATTTTCTATATATCCACAGTGCTTAGTCTGAGGAAGAAATACATTACCCCTCTGCTTTAGTCTTTGTTTAATACCAGTTCCAGGACAAATTAACAGAGTAAGAAATTATAAAGCTTATTTAAGATAAGAGGGCTTGACTAGACCTTGACTGCCAAACACTACATACAGTATACTTAGTAAATACTGAGAGGAACTGAAAATTGAAAAATAATAAAAATGAATTCAAAATAAGATTTTTGAATTATAAATAGGAGTGAAGTATAACTGCAAATGGAAATATGTAAGAC